ACCGCTCCACCACGCTGCCAAAGGGTCCATCAATGCCAACGCCGTTGGACTGCACGGCAAACTCATACCTGGTGTAAGGCTTCAGCCCACTAATGAGAATGTCTTCATCCGAGCTGCCGGAGAGGACACATGCACAAGGCCGTGAACACCCGGATGGTTCTCCCACCCACTGCCACCTTGGTACCTTACCAGAAGCACTGCAGGAGATTATCCTAACTCCTACAGTGTTTGATTTTTCATCTAAAGCTTTACTCCTGCAGCCATGTGAATACAAGAGCACTCGGCTCCCAGTTAGAGAACAAAGTAGGCCCCCAGCCTCCAGGACCACTTTTGATATACTTACAGAGAAAAGCTTGAAAACACAGCCTCGTTATAGGCTGCACAGGAATCCAGATCTAAAAGACATCCCCAAGTTATTAGAACTGCCTAAACTCTAGCAATTTTTAAACCAAACTTGTGAGGACACCTCACAAATGATGAATGCTTTGAGACTGGCCATAACTGTACCTGGCTTCGCTATTAACAGCACCTACGGTCTGATCGAAGCAGAAAAGATGAAAAGACCAGCCAGTGAACCATCCCGTGGTATTTACATCACGAACACGTCTCAGTGCCACATTTCACCAGCTCTGAATATAGCTGTGACCAAGGCAGCTTGTGAAACTCCCAGGGTTATGCTCAGCATCAGAACTTTCGTGCAAGTTCCTCCTGCTCTGTGTTTATCCCTGACATGAGTAACCCATGGCAGATGAACCCCCAGCATCCTGCTTTACCTTGTGTAGTAGGTAACGAGAGAGGCGTTTTTCAGGCCCCAAGGGCTGAAGCGCACAGTGTAGTTGACAATCTTGACTGTGGTGAAGTCAGGTTTCTTCCACCTGAGCCATATGGAGGTCGAGCTGTTGGACTCGGCATAGACTTGGACTGGCGGCAGCGGAGGCCCCTTCTGCACGGGGGGATCTGCGGTGCAAGACAAAAAGAAGAGAGATGTGGAGACTTACGTGACAGTGAGGCAAGGGACAGCCACCACGGGCAGAGAAAACAGGGAATAAAGCAGGCCTGGGTTGTGAAGCCTACACCGATGTGCTGGCCTCCAGCCCAAGCCAAGATGCCCGGCTTAGCCCTTCAGCAGCCTGGCAGAGCAGAGTGGAGCCTAGGTCTCCAGAGCTTTTACTTTCTAACACTGCAAAAAGCCGGGCATGCTGCTAACTCACATATCTCTTTATGATGTAAAGAGATGAAACCCAGGTTTATTTGGCATTTCCAAGACCACCCCGAGCCACTAACAGGGCCAGAGAGAACACGGGGAAGGCCATTCACACCCAGTGTGAGAACAGCCATAATGAGAAGGGGGATATTTTGCTCCTTTCTCTTCTTCCCAAGATAATTCCTCTGATGCAACTCCCTGTCAAAAGGAGTTTCCATATCCTGGGAACTTCCTCATTTTCATACTGTCCATCTTCCGTCCCTTTACCTCTACCCGTCCTTCGAAGCCACATGCCAAGCAGAAGAGACAGAAAACAGATGCAGGGCACTCCTCACCTACTGCTGTTGCAGGTGCCTTTTCTGTTTTGCCCTTCCAAACCGCTGCATAACCATCTTCGTGCTTATTGAATGCCACCAGCTTCACCTCATAGAGTTTCCCAGGAGCTGGAAAAATCAATCAGGGTTTGTCTGGGGTTATTTTTGTTACCAGCCCTCCCCAGTTAGACACGTTTGCTTTGATCTGACCAGCTTTTCTCACCATCCAAGAAAGTAGCTTGAACGAAGTTGTATTTTCTAAAAATCCAGCAGGGAATTCCCCCTTCCACATTCAAACACTGTCTCCCAACCGGTGCACGTATCATCACAGCTACTCTCCAGTCCTCCCCTCACTTTTCACAGAAATTATCCACAGCAAATGGATTGCCACAGCCACCCAGAGTTAACCAGCATCCCAGCCTGCAGCACATCACTGCAGGATCTCCTGATCCTGATCTCTCTCCCCGCTGTGGAAGTGGATGCCCTGCACTGTTCATTCGTGAGGAGTGAGAACATCCTCTCCTCTCCAAAATGCACCTCCCATTTCTAAAGTCCTGATTTATTCACTGCTGTGAAGATCCTCTTTCCAGCAAGTCCTCACACCCCCCGTTAAGTCACCGGCAGCTCTTGTCGTACCGTGAGTAATTCATCTCCACGGCAGAGTTTCTTGATTTGCAATTAGAAAAACTCAGGCAAACCCCACGGCAGAAGTCCGAGGACCCTCATTACCCACCCTCCCCATCAGACAGCCACTACACAGGGAACCTCGCACTTGGACCCAACCTGAGGTGCAGGACAAGGTGCTCTGACTCCAAGCAGAGCTGCCCTGGTCCAAAATTCCCTTCCCTGAAAGACTCCTCTGCTGTGCTAAGTGACACCTGAGGTTTTTTCAATGGAGATGTTTACTCGAGGAAACAACTCAGGAGATACAAAGTTCTCAAATCAGCCACTCGCCAGCCTCTCCCTTCTGCAGCCAGCCCATTCAGCAGCTCAATGAGAGCACTCCAGACTCTCTTTGGTTGCCTCGGCTGCAGCGTATTGATGAAAATTTTGTTAATTTGGGACGTGCCTGTTCATTCCCTGCCCTGATAGATCACTGCTCTCTTTGCCAGACAACGTAAGCAGAATAAAACCTTTCTTATTGATGCCAATTTTATTATTACTGCGCTGATTACACTCCCAGAGGCTAATGGTACCAATTACCAAAGGCTTTCTCTGCTCCACAACACATGTTCGCGCTCAGAATATAAAAACAGTTCAGCCTCATTTTTCACCCCGAAAGAATCCCGAAAGCAAACAGAGTTTTGTCTGCCTCTGAGGCAGCCTGATCTGCATTTCCACACTCTCCAGCCACAGGAAAAGGTTTCAAAACCACACAAGGGGGATGAGAGCGAAGGGCACCCAACTTCCAAGTGGCTGGTGAAAGGAAGAACCCCACAGCCCGTCTCTCACCAGCACACACACTGCGCCTCCTGCCCGAGCATTCGGCCGGGCTTCACTGGGATACGACCTCATCGCGGATGATGCGATCCAAAACGATGAGGAAGCGCTCACAGATGTGATGCAGCTGTGGCCAGCTCCTACTGAAGAATGAAGGAAAGGACAAGTCCTCCACCTCCATCCCTGGGTAGGATCAATACGGCAGCCACTTACACGTGAAGCCAGAGGAGCTCTGCTACAAGATCAAGCAATTCACATTCTGAAAATAGGGTTATTTTGGATTTCTCAAAGGCTTGGCTTCAATTTTTATCCACAGGCCCAGATGTTCAAGCTCTTAGAACATGCAGACATAAAGCCCTATCAAGCTGTCAAGAAAGCTAGTAGGCAGCATGAAAACAGATGTATTTCACTGCATTCCATCATACATTATATTTAAGCAGAATAATCTAGTCCAGATCATTTCAAATCACTAATCTGGATGACTGCATAATATATCCAGTATGCTAAATATGTTGTTTTCTTCAGTTTTTCAAGGTGTTCATGTTGGCCAGATGTGATACGCCATACCTATCCTGTAAGTGGGAAAATACCCTGATCTCCAGGGAGTCACTCCGAGAGGAATGCACTCTTCCTCCATGGGAATGTGGAATAGAGGATCAGATCCTTAGTGTTGATTTTGATGTAAATTAACAGCCCTGGTAGTTGCACACCATTACAGAGGCTAACTGCTAGAACGCAGATGGAGAAGAATGAGAATTTCTCAGGGAAAAGCCCTCCTGGTGATTCAGGGGAGCTCCCCTTTGATTCTGTGGGCTCACAAAATTGCTGTATTTCTTGTGTGCCTTTCAACAGCTGCCCACCTCTCTCTCAGGACTTCAGCATGAGAGACAAGGAGTGTCATTAGCGATATCACTCTAAGGAGACATGGTTTGCTCCAGAGATTATCATGAGCATGGGAGAAAAGTAATCTTTTCCATTTCAGACAGCTCAAATGGAGACAGCTGGGGCATTACCAAAGGTCAAGTCAAGAAGCCAGATGTAGGTGGTAAGGCAAAGGATGAGGAAGCCTGCAGGAGGGAGAAAAGGTGGTGGACACAGCTGGCACCATTTTAGTAGCAGGACAAGCCAGTGCAAGAAAAGATAAAACCAAAATCTTGCACCAGACCAGCACAAAGACCCTTGCTGCAGCATAAAATCACAGAA